CTGCTGAACTCCAGGTCACTTTTCTTGTATTGGACAAAACCATTGAGAATCTGCAGGGCGTGTCAGTGCAGTTCTCTAGTCCACCAGCAAGAAAAATATACTTATTTGCTGCCATCTAGTGCGGTGCTACACAATTTCTTGATCCAGTAGAGGAGACACAGGAGTGGCTGTCCCCACACCTGAAAGGTAGAGGAAACAAGATGGCTAATTTTGTGTGGAGCTTTACTATGAGCTAGATTAAGTGCAGAATGAGATTGCAGTTTCATTTGTCAGTATTGTTAGTGGAGGATGTAGATACGTGTAGAGCAGATGCTTGTAAGTGGATAGGTTGAATACATTCCTAAAAGTGTTGTCCTCTTAGTTGCTGAAGTAGAAAGTCTTGATCTTAGCTTACATGTTGAGAAATTAGAGGCTCTGTTTCTTCTTAACGATCTCTTGAAAAAATATTTATATAAATAGTTTGAAGAGACCCATACAGTATTTTAACTTCAGAGCTTCACTCTAAAACAGAAAGGACTATGAAACAACACTGATAGGTGAATCTGAATTTTTTAACTTTAATTTTCTGTTCTTGCAGCTTTTATCCTCCAGTTGATGAGCCTTCCATTGGCACTGAAGAACTGGATTTGTCTGAGCGTCATGAAAGGAAAAAAATATTCAGTGGAAAAACCTTTGTATTTCTAACTGCCAAGCAGGTAATTAGACTTTTCATTCCAAAATGCTGCATTTTATCTTCTCTCTGAATTCACACTCATTCTGGGTTCATCATGAAAGAAGAATTTCTGTATATTTATCTTCTTACAATACGATGGCCTTAAGCAAGGTGAAATACAAGGGGAGAAACAGTAAATATCATGCTTGCATTAGTGCATCAGTGATAAGCATTATGCTGATACTTCTAAACTGACTGTATTTTAACATTCTTTTTTTTTAATTTACATTCTCTTTTTAGCACAAGAAACTAGGTCCAGCAGTTATTCTTGGAGGAGGGGAAGCAAAATTGATGATGGAAGGAAGAAAAGAAACATCTTTACTGGTTTCTCCTGAAGTTTGTGTTGTTGATGTAGGGTTGACATACTCTCAGATCCCAGGATCTGACTCCATGAGACACTGGACTGATTCCATTCTGACTATCTTGCAAAGGTGCAGCCTTGTTCTCTTGTACAGCAGTATGGTAATTTCAGAATTTCCACAGAGAATTAGTCATGGTGTTTGCCTGCATGTTCAAATGGTAGCATGCTTATGAAGAGGATATTTTCTTCATTGTTTTAAGTATTTAGAATAGTAACTAAAATTTCTTGAAGCAGTAAAGAAAGAACTTGGCAGTTCTGTGAGGATTTGGTGGGGTTTTTCTTTTTTTTTCTATTTTTTTTTTGAGGATCCAAATCTACAAAAATTTCTTGTAATGAAGCTGCTTTGAAATTACAGCAAGTGTTTTTTCTTCTATTACTTAAAAGAAGTTAAAAATTAATATATGCTAAGAATGGAAAATAGATCATCTCTGATTTTTCAATAAATGTACGTATTTAATGGGAAACAGGTGAGATGGCACCTTGAGGTCATGTGGTTCATTGCCGTCTACTTATTTGCATACAGTGTTTCTGAAGAGCAGCTTCTGTTTAATAAAAATCAGTTTTTGTTTTGATGTTGTCGGGGGTTTGTTTTTTTTTGGTGAGGACAGACTGCATATTTTTATAGATGTTATTATTTTCATGATGCTATTTTATTAAAACAATGAAAGAAAACAAATTCCTAACCTTTAACCTAGTACCTAAACGTAGTTCCTCTGAATTTTCCTGCTAAATAGTGAAAACTGTTCTCAAGCTCTTCTCATGGCTGTAGTACAGAAGAGGAGAGTGTGTGCCTAACTGACTTGTAAGAAGTGCTCAAATCTTTCAAGTCACTTTTCCATTTACACATATTTTTGAATCAGAGATAGTGTGCAGTTGGTTAAATGCCCATAAATCAGGTAGGGGGAGATGCATTGCCAGATTACTGGAACTAAACAGTAGCTGCAGCAGCAGGGAACATGAAAGTTCATATGTATGGGACATGCGTATAATGATGGATAATTATGCTGATTTAATGTGTTGTGAAAAATTGTAGTTTAGACTGATATTTTTTGCAAGGAGGAATGGAACATTCTGTACTTTGCCATATCTGTGCCCATTCGCCTGTTCATCTTTTGAATCTGCATGAAAAAACACATTTTGTTTTTTTTGTCTTTCTTTTATTTGTATATTAACAGCAAGGATCTCAGGGCTATTCCGGAGGCAGAAATTGGATTGGCAGTTATCTTCATGTCTACAGAAGAATACTGCAACCCTCAAAAGCAGCCTGGTAACAAAGGTAATTGGAAGAAGTGTAGTAATAAGTTAACAGCATTAAAGAGGAAATATTTCTTCTTGTACAGGGGCATCAATAGCTAATGTTCAAGTTCTTTCATTTTGCAAGACCACTAAAATAGAATGATGCTGTATGAAAAATGTATACAAGGCTGAAAGGATAATTGTTTTCTTTAATGGTCTTGCAATAAACTGCAATGAAAATTTAATGACTCTTAGATGTAAATAAAAAAGTAGCAGACCTAAAATTAGTGTGAAAAGCAGACACATGGTACATTGATCTTTAAAGGAAAAGTATTTTAAAACAATCTTTTGAAGTTCATGTTTTTAGTGGCCACTGAATTAATACGTATGCAGTAGTTTGAATTCCATGCTATTCTATCTTTTGTGAAAAGACTGTGGTAATAAGGAGGTAAAAGGTGAATGTTAGAAATTGAGAGCGTAAGAATGGAATTAATCTATAAAGGCTTGCTCTTTTTTTTTTTTTTCCCCGACAAAAAGGAATTTGCTTTAGAGAAATTCAGCTGCCCTCCCCCCGTTCCCCTGCCCCAGTTCAAAATCAAACATAATCTTGGCGTAACAAGTAAAAACAATGAGACGTGGCTGCCACATTTGCTAATGTAATAGATGGGCGGTGGATATTCCAAGTCTCAACTTGAAACTTAACTTGTATTTGCTAATATGGTAGTAATAAAAATCTTTGAGAGACAGAAAGAGTTTTTGGTTGTCTAATTCTCTTTTCATGCTTCTTCCAAAATCAGTCTATATTTTGTTTCTAGAAAATTGTCAGTTATGTGTGTAATTTTAGGTTCAGTTCTGTTCTACAAAGTGTTCTATCGGGTAGCGAATCCTACAATTAAAAAAAAAATCAAACAAAACCCCCATAAACTTGTCTTTACGTATAGGAACATTACTTATTCAAAAAGTATATCTTTCTCTCTTCAAAATGCATGCATTACTGTCAGAGCTCTGGAAAATATTTTGGTTGACTGGTATTCTTGTATTAATAACTTGTATGTGATCTGTCTGTTCAGTTAGCTTAGAAAACCATACAAAATAAATTGATTCTCAGATTAAATTTAAAGATATTGACTCTGCAGACATCTGGACAAATCAGAAATGCTGATTTTTTTTCCCAGTCCAAATGATTCAATTGCATAAAAGTTAAATTGTCTGATTGAATTGCGTAAAAAGACTGTATATGAGACTTTTAAAGGTAGTTATGTTTACAGTTTATTTGCTAAGAGGGAACAAATGCTCTTGTTTGGGAGTTATAAAAAACTTCCATGTATGTGTTGCAAATCAAAGGGATTGTAAACAAGACTTTTTCCTCTGATCTTGTCTCAGAACAATGAATAGCAACATATATAGCAGGTAGTTGCTCAAGGAGGAAACCTAGGTGTCTCAAGGTTATTCCTCTGGAGGTTATAGTGGTAGGAAAAAATGAATGAATGTATGAAGAAGGGGTTATCTGAAAGGATAATACCGTCGTCATATTCTCAATCTGAATGAGATGCGGGAATAATGTAAAGGACTGAGAGGTGAGTGGTAATTAAAAAAAAAACCTAACCAGTACCTAGAAGCATGATGAGACATGTTAAAGTAGTAAATATCAGTATCCTTTGACTTGGAGAAGACATAAGTATATGAAGACAAGGACAAGTGAAAGGGCAGACAATATAAAAGATGTTTTATATACTTTTCTTTCTGTTTAAAGAGAAATAATGTAAGTAACTAAATAGAGAGCAGTAAACAATGTTTTAAGGCAATCCTCTGACTATGGGGATTAGAAGAATTTGGCTGTAGAAGACATTTATTCTAAGTTTTTTTGATAGCAAATATTGATTCTGTATTAATAGAAATAATCCCAAATATAATTATCACATGTTAGAGATTGTCATAAAGCAGCAAATATAAGGAATTTTGTGCTCTGACAGTTTTGCATAAAATATATATTGCTTGATTTATTAATTATATTATGTCCATATTAATATATGATTTCCCATTACGCTTCGTTTTTGTTTAAGCAAAATTCCATGACTTAATTTAGTGGAATATTTAACTAAAACTGAAGCCCAGCATATGGTCTTTTAGAACTGTTTAATTCAGTTTTTTTAAATCAATAAATCTGCTTTTTTTTTTTATTAAAATTGCATTAAGACCATTTCACAAAAGTCTTACCTGATCAGTTACTGATGTGTGGTAACACATGCAAAGAAACACAGGTTTGATATTAACCTTTTAATTCTTCTCTTGTGTTGATATTGCAGCTGTAACTAAAAGTACTTCTGCACCAGCTGTTGTAGCGCGAGCTATTTCTCAAAGTTTGGCTGTGGATGAAACAATAATGCCAACTGCTGCAGATAACAGCACAGGATATGTAGCTGATACAGAAATAGAAGAGCAGACATGGTAAAGTATTAATGGAAATAGTTTCTAAGCTAATACTTGCAAATAAAGGAATCTTTTGTGGCAGAGGAATTGTATCATTGCCATGGAGAGAGATATACACTGTTTGAAATGGCACTTACTGAATTGCTGTCACTTGTCTGCAGTGAGACGATTTCTGCTTTTGAGTGGTAGATAACAAAAGACATCCCATAGGACTTATGACTTTTTCAGATACAAATGTAGATATTGCATATCTGATTTGACTGTCTTAACTATTAAACATTTTCAAGCAATTTCACAGTTATAAAAATACAATTGTTATAGCAGATTTTACAATTTGTTTTTAGCACACCTACATTGTTTATAACTATGTTCAAAGGACAGGTACAGCTTTTTTAAAATGTAGTATTCTACAGTGTATCTCTGTAGTAACTTCTTGTGTGTTCACGTAGTATTTTTTCCTCTCTAATATAGTACGGAGATAGAGAATACTCCCCAGGTGGACAGAAGAGAGAAAATTGCTTTCCAGGATATAACCATTGTAAAGAAAAACCCTAGCACAAGTGGCAATCTAAATGCAGGAACGTCGGTATCTAGAGTGAACAGAACATTTGGCTTTAGTCAAAAAAGTGATCCTGTCTCGCCATCTAAAATTCCAGAAGCTGGTAAAACTAGTGAGAGTGCTTCACGTCACCAGACTAACTCAATTACAAATTACTTCCAGGTAGCTAGAAAAAGGTATGTTGAAATGTTCTTGACATTACTTCCCTTATTGTTATGTTGGTGCTGCTTCTGGAAAATAATTTTAACTCAAGGGATGTACATTTAATTCAAAACATACTTAAAAAGGTAATTTTTAGATCAGCTTCCTAGAATGGCAAGCTTTTCCTCAAGGGTACTTAACGTTCAAATTTCACAATGCAGCTACTAAAACACCAGGAAGCTGTTATGTTGCAGATGGAGCTAATTCTT